CTGCCCTCCAGTCTGGGTGACAGAGTGAGACTCCAACTCAAAAAAAAAAAAAAAATTATATACTGAGAGAAATATAGTCGTGTAAAAGATGGCAGATATTTTCTGAATCTTCTTATGGGGGAGAAAAAAGATGGCTGAAAGTGATAGGAGACTGGGAAAAAAGACCAAAAAGTTGCTTCAAAAACTAGGAAGAGAGTTAACGATTATTTGAATGGAGACAGGTAGATTTAGAAACAAGTGCTTCCTAAGAGGTAACATTGTAGGGAAGAGAAATCATATATTGCCAGACAATTAGTAAGTCATGGTGATTTCTGACATTTGAAATTATCATTAAAGTATATTTTGATGAGTCATCATAATAGTTTTCTCTTTTATCCCTAAGATCTATGATTTCTCCTTTATTACATGTTTACAGTGTGATAAAAGCTAGTTGTCAATTACTTTATTTGGTTACTACATAGATACTGGCCATTTTGACCTGAATGATTTGGAGGTACAGATACAGAAGGAAATTATGTGACATCCATTAATATGTTTTCTTATAATAGTTATATATGCTAAAACATTTTCCTTTTATTGCTAGTTAACATGTAATAATTGTACATATTTATGGGATTCAGTGACATTTCAATACATGTGTATACAATATATAATGGTCAAATCAGAGTAATTAGCATATATGCCACCTCAAACATCATTTCTTTTTTTGTTTTGTTTTGTTTTGAATTGGAGTCTTACTCTGTCGCCCAGACTGGGGTGCAGTGGCCACTCCCGGCCACCGCAGCCTCGACCTGCTGGGCTCTGGCAATCCTTCCGCCTCAGCCTTCCGAGTAGCTGGAAGTACAGGCTCGCACTACCACGCCTGGCTAATTTTTTAGTTTATTGTAGAGATGAGGTCTCACCAAGTTGCCCAGGTGGGTCTCGAACCCGCGGGCTCAGGCAGTCCACTCACCTCAGCCTCCCAAAGGCATGGGATTACAGGCTGAGCCACCGAGCCCGACTTGTTATGCTGGTTTTACCAAAATAAATCCTTATAGGCCGGTTAAAATCATATGGTCATTCTCATTCTTTGTTCCCCACTGTCATTTATATATGATTTTCCTGGTGTTTTAAACAGGAAGAAACATTACCAAGGTCCTCATTGCAAACAGAGGAGAAATTGCCTGTAGGGTGATACGGACAGCCAAAAAAATGGGTGTACAGTCTGTGGCGGTGTATAGTGAGGCCGACAGAAACTCTATGCATGTAGATATGGTACGTTGTTAAAAACGAAGCTAAATCTTGTAAGTGATCACATGTATTTGTTCACTGTGTCAGTATTTTAGTTCTTTATGATGACAGTTGATATTTGCTAGTGTTAACAGGATTTAAGTAGGTAAGTTCCAACTGCTCACTAATAATTCTTTGGAATATTTTTGAGATGTAACACCAGTTGAACTAAATAGTGTGTTTAGTGTTTTAGTTGATTTATGGGTAAGGTCTGTATCTCATGAAGGACTAGTTAATCTTTTGCACTTGGATATCCCCTCTGAGGGGACATCGTAAATCTAGCAAACCACTTGGATGTCCTCTCTCAAGGGACATAAAGAGATTGCTGGTGATTATACAGGGCAAACTTATGCCAGCACAAATTTTTCAAAAGTGTGTCTTCTTGAAAATTTCCATTCACACTGCATGAAAAAGCAAAGAGATGGAACATATACTGAGAGAGACGTAAAAAAAATATCAGCTGGTGTTATGTAGAAAGAGAATGTGTGAAGTACTTTCACAGTGGTGCACAGACTGGACAATAAATTGCACATTAATGTGGGAGGAAAAAACAAGACTGCATTGTCTGCTTGAATAGAAAAACACTAGGTGGAAGACATCAAATTACTATTGCACAGCATTTGTCAGTGAACCTGCAATGCACGTCAATGACTGTTTCACATGTTGCCACATGTTAGAAAAATATAAGATATAAAATTTTGATTTTTTTGTCATAAATAAGTTTTTCAGTGTCCAAAATTTCATTGTAAGCCAAATATCATTACAATAAAATAATTGGTTCTAATGCTTTACTAGTTAATATGAAGTGATTCGTTTTTCACTATTTCATAAAGTGCAGTTGAGTTGCTGGTAAGTGATCTGTAAGATATCTCTAAGTGCAAAGGGCTAAAACAATTAACAGAACATTACCGGTCCACACACCACACTTTGAGTGGCTCATGTTCAGATCTCGATCCACAAGGGAAAAGATCAAGGCTCAATTCTTAGCAAATACAATTACTGGTCCATTGATCTTAGCCAAGTCACTTAATGTTTCTGAGCTTTGACTTATTTGTAAAATTATGACTAAGAAGACCTAACTCTTTGGATTTGTAAGTGCTATCAGTTATTACTAGCTGTTGTCCGCCAGACAGACCCCAACCATGGACAAATTCAACTACTGGCTTTCATTATGCCACAGCTAAACTCTAAGCACCAACATAAATTCACCTGGGCTTTCATCAATGCACAGCGGGCCCATGTGGCTCTCTGGCCACTTTGCTTTCTCGTCCTGTGCAGTGACTATTTCAAACCTGTTTTGCTTCATATCAACCTTTAATCCTCCTTTTACTTACCTTTAATCCTCCTTTTACTTACCTCTTCTTAGCAGATGATCTTGATTTCATAGAGAAAGTAAAACTGAGTCTCCTGCCACAGTGTCTGCTGACCCGCCACTTATATCTGCATCCATCCTCTTTCCATCCAAGGCCAGTGCTCTGGATTCCTTTTCTCTTGCCTTTTTTGGTCATAAATAAGTTTTTCAGTGTCCAAAATTTCATTGTAAGCCAAATATCATTACAATAAAATAATTGGTTCTAATGCTTTACTAGTTAAATTCTAAGATTTCCCCAAGATAAGCAAGACAGTAAATTTCAAATGTTTTACCATGAAAAATGATAGGTATGTGAGGTGATGACTATGTTAATGAGTTTGATTTAATCATTCCATATCGTATACATATATCAAAATACCACTTGTATCCTGTAAGTGTATACAATTATGATTTGTCAATTTAAAATATCAATAAGAAATAAAAAGTAAAATGATACATTCCTGTCTCAAAAAGAAAAGAATCTTCCATTTCAGTGATATGTCTTCAACCACTCTCTACTAGACTAATAATGTCCATGACCCTAAACCCCGTGGAGTTTTTCCAGGCTGAACTGACTTGATCTTCCAGTAGCATTTAGCACCATAGTAAACTACTCTCTTTTAGAAGAAAATTCTTCTTGTGACTTTTCTGACCTTTTGCCTTTCTGTCCTGTTTCAGGACCCTTCCCATCTACCAGACTTGATCCTGGACCCTTGCCTTTCCTTACCATATGTGCTCATTCTAGGCCATTTTGCCTACTCCTGTGGCTTTGAGGAAAACCCAAATTTCTATTTCTGGCCTAGACTTTATTATGATTATTTTTTATAGCTGCACTATTCACAATAGCAAAAACGGACCTAGATTTTATTTTGAGCATGATGCATGTATATCCAAGTGCCCACTCAAAATCTCCACTTTGATATATCACATGTACTAAACTAATATGTCTGAAATTGAACTCATGACCTTTTATCTAAACTGAACCTGTCTTTTTTTTTTCCTTTGAGGCAGGGTTTTGCTGTGTTTCTCCAGGCTGGAGTGCAGTGGTGCGATCCTGGCTCACTGCAACCTCAAACTCCTGGGATCTTCCCAGGTAGCTAGGACTACAGGTGCACACCATCACACCTGGCTAATTTTTATATTTTTTGCAAAGATGAGGTCTCACTGTGGTGCCCGGCTGGTCTCAAACCCCTGACCTCAAGCGATCCTCCTGCCTTGGTCTCCCAAAGTGCTGGGATTACAGGCGTAAACCACCGTTCCAAGCCTGTACTGAACCTGCTTTTTTTTGTAGACTTCCCTAACCCAGTAGAGGACAACACTATTGCTCATAAAAATAATAATGCCAGAGATCTGGGGGTCTTTGAAAATCTTTCCCTTTTGTTCCCAGTCTATATTCTTCAGCCCTTCCCCCATCATCTAGATAAGCACCAAATGCTGTTAATTCTACTTCCCAAACATTTCTTTCTACCTTCTCCCACCTGTGTGTTCTTTTCATCCTCTCCCACAGTGTTCCAACCACACAAGTTTTGTGTGGTCTCTCACATGGGTCGGGTTTCTTTCTACCTCAGGCCCTTAAGGTACATTGCTTTTTTTTCTGCCTGGGAGGCTCACACCCCCCACCCCTCCATTCCTCTTCCCAACTCCACTTTCTCCATTTTTTGCCAGACAAGTCCTGACCATCCTTGAGGAGCCTTCCCTGGCCTTCCCTCCTAGGTTGCCTGACCACCTTCAGGCCAGACCAGGTCTTCCTCTTAGATCCTCTGTGCCCTGGATTTTTCCTCCGTGATCTTTATTACAGTTGTTCTTAAGTATGTGAATGTATGTTTAATGTCTGTCGCTCCCTCTAGGCAGGGACATTTGTTTACATCTGTTTGTACAGTCAGCTCTCACCTCAAAGTGTGGCACATAGTAGGCTTTCAGTAAGTCTTTGAATGAATATGTGTTCTATTTGGTTTACATCAAAGTATGCTATAATTACGTGAAAATTTTAAGGGATAGTATAAAATAATTCACAAATATATGGAAGGAGCATTATCATACTCTACTAATTATGTGTACTTTAGCAAACCTTGTAATTTTTTTCTTGCTGTGTACATCTATTGTATATTTTGTTTCTGTTATCAAATTGTATGTTTTTGGTGTTAAACACATTAAGGTTATTATTGTTGCTAATAATAATATCATGGCTAATACCTACTGCTTTCTATCCTGAGACACTTTAATTTCACTCCAGTGTGTATTTTATGCATGAAAATCAGGTTTTGTCATCCTCTTCATGCAAAAGATTCCAAAACTGGCTTATTTTTATAATATGAACCTGAACTGGTGCTTCAGCTTCTCAATTCTTGCACTATTCTGGGGGGACTGGCATTTTTTATTTATAATAATAAAATTACCCTGAAGCAGTTCTATATAGTATGAGTGTATACTAGCCATGTAGACTTTTAAGCATGGACTATTTCTCAAACAGGCAGACGAAGCATATTCCATCGGCCCTGCTCCCTCCCAGCAGAGCTACCTTGCTATGGTGAAAATCATTCAGGTGGCCAAGATCTCCGCAGCACAGGTAAGCATTGAGAAGAGATGGATGTGTGATGCGGAAGGAATAAGTTCACACAATTTATGCAGAATTGCTTATTGATAGAAATTATTTTCTATTTTAGCCATTCCCAAGACTTTTACATTTGATTATTGGATTGCTGTTGCAAACTAGGCATGTCCCTTCTCATTCCTCAGCCACTCTATATTTTTACTGAATCCTGTGAATTTTAGATTGGGGGGAAATAGGTGGAAAGAAGGTCTAAATTATAAGTTAAAATGAAGAGAGAATTCAGTTCTACTTTTAGAACTAGATGCGGGGAACATCAGATCCTGTGGGAGAAATAGGTGGGGCTCTAAATCACAAGGTAGAACAGTCAAGAGAGAAATAGTTTTCAACCTAGACTTCCCAGTCTCATTCTAGGGCATGTAAGGAAATTAAGGGAGAAGGTTCAGGCAGATGGAATTGCCAAGACTCTGAATGAAAACAAACCTGGCATTCAAGGAACAAAAATGGGCTGGGTACGGTGGCTCACACCTGTAATCCCAGCACTTTGGGAAGCTGAGATGGAAGGACTGCTTGAGGCCAGGGGTTTGAGACCAGCCTGGGCAACATAGCAAGACCTTGGGTCTACAAAAAAATCAGAAAATTATCCGGGTGTAGTGGCACATGTGTGTAGTCCCAGCTTCTTGGTAGGCAGAGATTGAGGAGGAAGGATTACTTGAGCCCAGAAGGTTGAAGCTACAGTGAGCCAGGATCATGCCACTGCACTCCAGCCTGGGTGACAGAGTGAGGCCCCGACTCAAGGAAAAAAAGAGACAAAAATGTTCAGTATGGTTGGAGTGAAGGCAATGAAGGGCTGTGTCAATGAAACTAATATTCCATTTGTTGTTTCAACAGAGGGGATTTAATTTAGGAATTAGTCCCACCAGTGTTAGAGGGCTGAAAGAAGGGGACAATAGTTGAAATTATCCAGTGATAACAAGAGAAATTGACAACCACCCCTTAGGCTGGGGAAGAGGCTGGAGGGGCCTCCAGCTGCCACTCGGATCTGTGGAGGGGCTCTACCTGGCTGCAGATGTCTTAATGTAGCTGGCCCCAGGCATTCTAGAAGAAACTGAGGATGAGCCCCTGACTGCTGCCGAGGGTGGAAGAACAGGAAATCTTCCCCTGCTCCCAGTTTCCCTATAGTGACCCCTGCTGGCAAAACCTAACAAGAAGCCCACCTGGCACGGATGCAGAGCCCCATTAGGAAGCACAGCATGGAAGGTTGAGTTTAGAGCTCAGAGAACCAACTGACACAGGAAGAGAGTGGTAGGAGCCGATGGAGCAGAGACGTAGGGGAACATCATTTAAAACATTATAGGTCTTGATAAGGAGTTTGTGTTTCATTTGAAGTAGCCATTAGAAGGCTTTAAGTAGGGTATTGAATGGTATGCTTTTCCTGTTAATAAGATCGCTAAGGCTGTGAAGTAGGGAATAGATGGTAGGGATGGGGGCAAAGATGGGCCCTTGGAAATTCTTTCATGTCTCCTCATCCCCAGGAGTTCAAGACCAGCCTGGGCAACATAACAAGACCCCCCAACTCTAAATTTTAAAAAAAAGCAGACTTTTAGGCTCCACCTGAAACTCACTGTAATTTGCATTTTTTCAAGTTCCCCCAGCAAAACTTTTCTAATCATTGAAAGAGAAAGGATTCAATAAAAGTCTTCTGACTCCTGTGCCCTGTTCACTGGACCAGACTGAGCAGTAGAACACTCTTGCCCTGCGTTTTGGGAAAAGAGAAGGTGTTGTTTAATCAGAAGTTTCAGTTAATTAAAAATTACTTCCTGTAGGCCAATCAGTTTCTTCACTTTATTATTGCATTTTCTTCTAAGCACTCTCTTCTTTGGAGTTAAAAATCCACTCCCTTTTTAATGACCATTCTTTGAGACCATTTTTTAGTTTAAATAACAACCCTCTAGCAAATGTTTGGTATGCTAATTCCAGGAAATTTATCAACTCTTGTGCCTATTTGGATTAGTATTACATTAGATGCTATAATAACACAAATAGTAAAACAATAATTATTTTGAAATATATTTCAAAATAAATACTTTTTTTGAAAAGAATAAAACATTTTTAAAAACTCCATCTTGCCTGGATAGTCAAGATTTGACATGCCTTGCGAAAGTTACAGATAGTGATGAAAACAAAGGATAAAAGAGCAAAAACCAAGTAATATGGCAGCGTAGGGTTTGGAATTAAATCAGAAAGCTTAAGAAAAGCTACTTAGCTCTTCCTGGCAGCCCTGATCATAAAGGAAACTTAGTAGGTTACAATCCACAAAGCTTGCCTCTAATAAAAAGATACTTGCCAAATAGAGCAAACTTTTCTCTGACTTTGAAGAAGAAAATTATTGATCATCTGATAAGGGACATTGAATAATACATGTATGGTGATTTGAAGGATACATGTATGGTGATTTGAAGGAAGTTTCCCAAAACTGTAAAATTGTTCTTAATGCGGCAGCTTGACATAGGTACTTTTTATGGGCATTAAAGTAAAATTTACAAGTGAGCTAAATTTACAAGTGATGTGTGGTGACATTGCTATATTGAAAGATTCTAGAAGATGTCAGTGTTTCTTAGGCCAGTTCTCCTGATTGCTGGTTGTCTCAGACTGTCTCTGGCTGGGAAAGAGGTCGTAGTCAACCCTGTCTTCAGGTTAGAATCACCTGAGGAGCTTTTAAAGACAATGTTGAACTGCCTTGATGGAGGGAGAGGGATCTGTGGTGACTGGAAAGGAACATGAAGAGTCTTTTGGTGTGTCAGTGATATTCTCTTTCTTAATCTGAGTGCTACACAGGTGTATTCAGTTTAAGAAAACTATGGACATAGGAACTGTACACTTATGACAAATGTACTTTTCTATATGTGTATTATATTTTAGTGAAAAGTTGTTTTTTTTTGTTTGTTTTTTTGAGTCAGAGTCTCACTCTGTCACCCAGGCTGCTACCCCAGCATCAATCTGCTGGGCTCAGGCAATCCTTCTGCCTCAGCCTTTCAAGTAGCCAGAACTACAGGTGCATGCTACCACACCCGGCTAATTTTTTGATATATTGTAGAGACGAAGCTCACCAAGTTGCCCAGGCTGTTCCCGAACCCCTGGGCTCTGGCAATCCTCTTGTCTCGGCCTCCCAAAGTGCTGGGATTACAATCTTGAGCCACCATACCTGGCGAAAAGTTTTTTTTTTTTTTGAGTTGGAGTCTCACTCTGTCGCCCAGACTGGAGTGCAGTGGCCGCTCCCGGCCACCGCTGCCTTGACCTGCTGGGACTCCGACGGTCCTTCCGCCTCAGCCTTCCAAGTAGCTGGAACTACAGGTGCACGCTACCATGCCCAGCTAATTTTTTGATTTATTGTAGAGATGAGGTCTCACTAAGTTGCCCAGGCAGGTTTCGAACCCGCGGGCTCAGGCAATCCACTCACCTCAGCGTCCCAAGGCGCAGGATTACAGGCTGAGCCACCGAGCCCAGCTGAAAAGTTATTTTTTAAAAAGCTCTTGCAACCAGGTGTGGTGGCTAATGCCTGTAATCCCAGCATTATAAAACCCTTTGTGTTTATTTTTTTCATATTAACATGTTTTATTAATTTGAGAACTTAATCAAATTACTATGTAAATCATCCACAGTGTAGTAATTTAATAATGTATAGACATTAAAAAACATGACATTTAAGTCTTATATACACCTGTAAAACAAGTTAGACTATTATAAGTGTAAGTGGCAACACAAATTTGCATTCCAATCCCAACATAGATATTTTTGTGGAAACGCATATTTTTAGATATCACAGACGTGGGTAGGAAATTCTTGGTAATAAGAATTTAAAGAGTATGACTTGTCCTTTCACTGTGGAAAGCTTAGATCTCATTTTTGCTTGAAGGCAGAGCCAGCTTTTATCAAACTCTGCTTGAAGATGGAGCCAACAGCAATAACTTTGGATGTATGCATATGCTTGAACAAGTTGCAGAGCAAAGTAAATATAAAGCAAAAATTGGAAGAAATTATTTTGGCAAAGATTTAAAGGCAGGAAATATCAATTTTCTCTGTTTAGTACCATGATATGAACAATCTCAGCAGGCTTGCAATCCTGTGACCCGCCAGGGTGAAGTGGCACTCCACATGTGCCTAAAGTGAGAGGATTGGCACACTCACACTGCTAGTGGTGGTGGTGTTTCCCTTTCAATCCATTCAAATGCTCAAGAATATCATGATTTGGGTATACTAACTTGTTCTTTCTAAGAGGAATTAGTTAAACTTCTTCAGGCCATTCCCAGAATGTACAGTTGAACTTTATTTTCACAAGGAGATAGCTGCTTTTCTTTTTAGTTATGAAAGGAGAGTTTTTATCAGTTCATCAAAGAGTTCCATTGAATTAAGTATCTGTTAAAAGAGAAGGGGGGGCACACTGTATCAAGGAGGGTACATACATAATGAACATTTGTGTACCTAACCCTGAATTGTACCCCACATCTTTAAAATAAATAAAATAAAAAATAAAAAAAGAAAGGAGACTAGTAGCAAACACTGTGGAAACAAACTTAAGGAAACAATTACATTTACAGTAGCATCAATAAGAATCAAATACTTAGGAATGAAGTTAGCAAAAGCAGTTCAAGACCTGTGTACTAAAAACTATAAAACATTGCTGAGAGATATTAATGAAGTTCTAGATAAATAGATATATCATCAGAACACTCATGATTGGTAAGATGACAAATTTTGTCTAACTTATATACTTAATGCAGTCTTTATCAAAATCCCAACAGACTTAAAAAAAAAATTGACAAACTTATCTTAAAATAGCCAAAGAGCCTAATACATAGCTAAAAACAGGCTGGGCATGGTGACTCACATCTCTAATCCCAACACATTGGGAGGCCAAGGTGGGAGAATCACTTGGGCCCAGGAGTTCAAGATCAACCTGGACAACATAGCAAGACCTTCACTCTACAAAAAAATAAAGTAATTAACTGGGTGTGGTGGTGTCCACCTGAATTTCTAGTTGCTTGGGAGGCAGAGGTGGAAGGGTCACTTGAACCCAGGAGGTCAAGGCTGTGATGAGTCGTGATCATGCCACTACACCTGCCATTCTACTCCAGCCTGAGTTCACAGAGTGAGACTCTGACTCAAAAAAAAAAAGAATCCCAACAGACTTTTAAAAATAAAAATTGACAAGCTGATCCTAAAACAGTCAAAAGCCTGATATGTAGCGAAAAACAATTTAGAAAAGCCTAATAAATTTGTGGGTTTAGGTGCTTTAAAATGTATTTAAAAACTACAATAATCAAAATGGCATGGTACTGGTATAAGGGTAAACATACAGATTAGTTGAACAGAATAAAAAACTCAAAAATAAACTTAACCCATAAGTAGTAGTCAATTGATTTTTGAATACAGGTGCTAAAGTAATCCAATGGAAGAAAGGAGAGTTTTTTCAAAAAATTGCACTGAAGCAATTGGATATCTCTTTGCAAAAAGATGAACCTATAGTCTAGATCCTAGACCCCACCTTTCACAAAAATATTAACTTGAAGTATATCATAGACCTAAAACTATAAAACTTCCAGAAGAAAGCATAGGAGAAAATCTTTGAGACCTTAGATTAGGCAAAGATTTTTTATACATGATACTATAAGAATGATTCATGAAAGAAAAATTGATAAAGCAAATTTCATCAGCATTTGAAACTTTTTACTCTTCCAAATAAACCACTAAGAACACAAAAAGAAAAGCCACAGACTGGGAAAAATTATGTGCAGAACATGTATTTGATGAAAGACTTGTATCCAAAATATAAGGACTCAATTATCAGACAACCCAGTTTTTTTAATAGACAAAATATTTGAATAGACACTTCACCAGAGAAGACATAAAAATGCCCAAGAAACCCATTAAAAGATGTTCAACATAATTAGCCATTAGAGAAATACAAATTAAAACCTCATTGAGATACAACTTCATACTCATTAGGCTACTGTGATCAAAAAGAGATGGTAAGTATGGGTGAAGATGTGGAGATATTGGAACCTCATACATTACTGATGGGAACGTAAGCTGGAGCAGCCACTTTGGAAGTCAGCTTTGCAACTTCTCAAAAGGTAAACATAAGAAAACGTATGAATCAGTAACTCCAGTTCTTGGGTGTATATTCAAAAGCAGTGAAAACATATATCCTTACAAAAATCTATATGTGAATGTTTATAGCAGCAGCATTCATAATAGCCAAACATGAAAGCAAAGCAAATGTCTCTAAAGTGATGAATCGATAAATAAAATGTGGTATATTCATACAGTGGAATGTTCTTCGGCAGTAAAAAGGAATGACATGCCGACATGTGCTAAAAACCGGATGAAGCTTGAAAATATGTTCAGTGAAAGAAGGCAGCCACAAAAGTCTGTGTCATATGATTCCCTTTATATAAAGTGTCAACAAAAGGCAAATCTATAGAGACAGAAAGTAGATTAGCGGTCGCCTAGTGCTGGGGGTGTGTGGGGAATGGGAAAGGAATGCCAATATGTATAGGATTTCCTTTGTGGGGGTGCCAAAACTTACATTAGGTCTTAGCATGTTTGATTATGGTAGTGATTGCACAACTCTGTGGGTGCACTGAGAATCATTGGGTGGGGTGAGTTTTAGGGTATATAAGTTATATCTCAATGATGTTTTAAAAGTGCACTGCCACTACACACCCACTAGAATGGCTAAAGTAAACTTGACTGATTATATAACATGTTGGCAGGGATATGGGGAAACCTGGAACCATCATAAATTGCTGATGGAAATGCAAAATAGTACAGCTGCTTTAGAAAACAATTTGACTGTTTCCTAAAAAGTGAAGCATATCCTTACCATATCATGGCCTAACAATTGCATCCCTGAGTATTTACCCAAGAGAAATGAAAAATATGTTCACACAGACTTGACCATGAATGTTTATAACAGCATTATTCATAATAACTTCAAACTGGAAAAAACCCAAATGGATGAGTAAACAAAATGTGGAATATCTACATGATGGAATCTATACTATAAAAAGAAATGAGCTACTGACACGTAGTAACACGAGTGAGCCTCAGGAAATTATGCTAAACCAAAGAAGCCAGACACAAAAGGCTTATGTACTCTATGATGCTATTTATATGAATTTTTTTTTAAAGGCAAAACCATAGAGACAGAAAGCAGGTCAGTGGTTGCTCAGGTCTGGAAACAAAGATTGACTGCATATGGTCACGTGGGAACTTGTTCAGGTGACAGAAGAGTTCTAAAGCTGGATTGTAGTAATAGTTGCACAGTTGTATAGATTTACTAAATTCATCAAATTATAAATGGGTGAGTTCTGTGTATTGTAAATCATACCGCAAAAACCTCCCCAAACCAGGGAAGACTAGGTTACAGACCCATTGACTTGACGTAACGTAAGTGTTTAACTATTTTAGATAAAATACGAAAATTGAACTTTGATTTAAAAGAAGCAGGCTGGATGCTATGGCTCACACCTGTAATTCCAGCACTTTGGGAAGCTGAGGTGGGAAGATCGCTTGAGGCCAGGAGTTTGAGACCATCCTGGGCAACATAGCTAGGCCCTGTCTCTACATTAGATGGATAGGTAGATAGGCAGGCAGGCAGGCAGGCAGATAGAGATAGACAGATAGATGGATGGATGGATGGATGGATGGATGGATGACAGACAAAACAAAACTCCAAACTCACCAGAAATTGTGACTATCCAGCATTGTATCTATGTCTCGTACTGTGTTCTTTCCTGTCACCAGGATGTGGGTTTTTCTGTTCATATGAGTTTCCCAGACATCTGAAACTTACCCCCTTAATTCTGAAATGTTCTTTGAACTGAACTGTTTTGAAATAGGGTAGACCATGCTTCTTCCTTTTTGTAGTCCTTTGGTTATGACTATAATACACGCATTACGTTAGGGTTTCTCCTGTTCTCAGAACTGCTGGTGGTGGAGTGTTACTTCATTCCTCACCAAGTCATCTGAGCCCTTTGCCTTTTGCATTCTCCTGTTTCCTCCCTTTTTGCTGTCAGCGTGTTTACTCTTAGAGATCTTGCTATCCTTCAGTTGCTGATTTTCCTCTTCTATGGGCTAGAAAACCAGATACGTGGATGTGTTAAAATTCTGAGTAAGTTAGAAGTACCTAGGCTGACGTCCGAGGGTTTCTTGTTTCACTTAATGTATATGGCAGGAGTCCCTCCTGATTCACAGTTCCACTTTCAGTGGTTTCAGTTACCTGCAGTCATCCATGATTTGAAAATGTTACTTGGAAACTTCCAGAAATAAACAACTTGTAAGTTTTAAATTGCAGTTCTGAGTGGCAAAATGAGATCTCATGCAGTCTGCCTCATCCCACCCAGAACATAAATCATTCATTCCTTCATCCAGCATCTCCATGCTCTTGCTTCCTGCCCATTAGACACTTATTAGCCCTCTCAGTGACCAGATCAACTGTTGTGGCACCACAGTGCTCGTGTCCAAGTAATGATTGTTTTGCTTAATATTGGCCCCAAAGTGCAAGAGTAATAATGGTAGCAATTCAGATATGCCAAAGAGAAACCATAGCATGCTTCCTTTAAGTGAAAAGGTGGATGTTCTTGACTTCATAAGGAAATAAAAAAACCTATGAGCTGAAGTTGCTAAGATCTATGGTAAAAGTGAAGCTTCTATTCATGAAATTGTGAAAAGGGAAAAGGAAATTCACTGTTTTGCCTACATACTCCCAGACTGCAAAAATTGCGCCCATAGTGCACGATCACTGCTTAGTTAAGGTGGGAAGACATTCAATTTGTGTGTGGAAGACACAAACCAAAATGTGTTTCAGTTTTCAGCAGTCCAGTTCAGTACTGTCCACAGTTGCAGGCATCTCTAATAGTCTTGAAGCATATTCCCTGAGGATTAAGGGGGCACTACTGTATACTTTAACACATGACTTTTCATTTGCTTCTAGCTTTTCTTCTGGAAAGGTGACATTGGTAGACAGTGACCTGAAGATAAGTGAGCTATTACTGTGCTAGTGTCCTGTTCAACTTTTAGATACCATGGTTTCAGTTCTAGGTCAGTTTTACATGGAGACAGAGTCAATAAATCTCCCTTGCCACCTTGAAGCCTTTTACTCTGTGACATTTTACCCTAATGGCAATATTATTTTAAATTAAGATACAGACTTTTCTGTACCATATGACCCAGCAATTCTATTTTTGGTATGTACCTAAAAGAATTTAAAGCAGGAACTCAGATACGTGTATATCAATGTTCATAGCAGCACTATTCACAGTAGTTGAAAATTAGAAGTAACCCACGTGTCCTTCACTAGCTGATGGATAAATCAAAATGTGGAAATACATGAAGTGGACTGTTAGTTTTTAAAATAAAGGAAATTCTGATACATGCTACGTGAATGAACATTGACAAATTATGCTAGATGAAATAGCCAGACTCAAAGAGACAAACATTGTACAGTTCCATTTATATGAGTTACCCTGACTAGGCAAATTCATAGAAACAAAGTAAAATAGAGGTTACCAGGGACCAGGGAGAAAAAAAAGAGGGAAATTATGTTTGGGATGATGAAAACATTTTGGAGGTGGATGGTGGTGATGGTTGTATAACATGATGAATGTACTTAATGCCACAGAGTTGTATATTTAAAAGTGGTTAAAATGGTAACTTTTATGTTATATATAATAATAAAAAGAACTACAGATTCTTCTTATTTAGGTAAGTCTCAAGGCTTTAGTGTGGCCGTTTCAGGTATTTTTTTGGAAATAGATTTTGATAGAGACTGTAGTGTACTTATTACTCATATGGGGAAGGCCTCCCCAGATGAAGACAATTTCAACCTGCATCAGAGCTTTGCCAGTTGAGAACTACCTAGTAAGTTTGTTGTTTTATTTCTCACTTCTAGGCTATCCATCCAGGGTATGGTTTTCTTTCAGAAAACATGGAATTTGCTGAACTTTGTAAGCAAGAAGGAATTATTTTTATAGGGCCTCCTTCATCTGCAATTAGAGACATGGGTATAAAGAGGTATGAGTTTATGTCTTTTTAAATATAACCATACTGGGGGGAGCACATAACATCATTAAGGGAACCTCGTCCTAAACCAGGGGAGTGAAGACCGGTTGGGGGCCCAAACTTCACCTGCATGTAGACTTCTTATGTACCTAATCCTGACTTGTACCCCACAGCTTTACAATAAAATAAAAAAAAAATAATCATATGGAGGTCAGTTGAAATCATTTGTATTACTATAATAGGTGTTTTAATTATACTCTTGTTGCAGGCATAAGTCATTTATCTGTAATAAAAAGGGAAATGCCACTGAGTTAAAGAAAATATTTAATTAGTTGCTAATATATTAATTAGGTTTGGGGAATAAAAATAAGTTGGGATCAGCTACCACATGAAACTAATAGGCATTTTAATATTTGTATTAATATTTGTTGTCTCAGACTGTAGTTCTTTCTTTACCCATGGGATGTTTTCTTTAAAGAGTTCTACTGTAATTTGTAGAGTGAGCTGTATTTGTATTTTTCTTGAATGAAATAATTCATAGAAGACTAGGAGTGGTGGTTCATGACTATAATCCTATCACTTTGGGAGGCCAAGGCAGGAGGATTGCTTGAGGCCAGGAGTTCAGGACTAGCATGGGCAACATAGTGAGACCCCATCTCTACAAAAACTAAAAAAAAAAAAAAATTAGCTGGGTGTAGTGGCATGCACCTGTAGTCCCAGATACTTGTGAGGCTGAGGTAGAAGAATTGCCTGAGCCCAGGGGATCAAGGCCTGTCTCTAAAACAAAACAAAAAAAAAGAAGTATTTCATAAATTGGTGTGTCTTTTTTTTTTTCCAACTCTAAAGCACATCTAAATCCATAATGACTGCTGCTGGAGTGCCTGTTGTGGAAGGTTATCATGGTGAGGACCAATCAGACCAATGCCTGAAGGAACACGCTGGGAGAATCGGTTATCCTGTCATGATTAAAGCTGTCCGGGGTGGAGGAGGAAAAGTAAGATGATGTGTGCTTGTGTTTACCATTTCAGGCTAGTCTTCTTTGTTTTATTCATGTTGTAGTTATAACTCTCTTCTCTCTTAGGGCATGAGGATTGTTCAAGCAGAAAACGAATTTCAAGAACGGTTAGAGTCAGCACGGAGAGAAGCTAAGAAGTCTTTCAATGACGATGCTATGCTGATTGAGAAGTTTGTGGACACACCAAGGTGGGTTGAGCTTATTTTTCTGACCCAGATTTTTTAAATTAAATTACAAAAGTAGGCGGGGCGTGTTGGCTCAGCCTGTAATCCCAGCACTTTGGGAGGCCGAGGCAAGAAGACTGCCTGAGTCTAGGGATTCTAGACAAGCCTGGACAACTTGATGAGACCTCGTCTCTACATAAATCACAAAAATTAGTCCATCGTGGTAGTGTGTGCCTGTAGTTCTAGCTACATGGAAGACTGAGGTGGAAGGATTGCCTGAGCCCAGCAGGTCGAGGCTGTGGTGGCCATGAACAGCGTGCCACTGCATTCCAGCCTGGGCGACAGAGTGAGACTCCAACTCAAAAAAAAAAAAATTTTTTTTAAGTAATGCATGCACATTCTATAAAATGTAAAATTGTCATAGTACATAAGTACATTAAGTTTTTCAATTCCACCCCTTGATGTAACCATTGTTTATGGGATGGTACGCATTCATTCAGGCATTTTCTATGTGAATAGAAACATATATACATGTGTATATAGAAAACAAAATACATAGCTAAGAACAGTGAATAGACTCTTATATACTATTGTATACTTACGTATTATACACTAATATCTTAGACATCTTTCCATGTCAGTAAATACAGGTCTACCTCATTCTTTTCTTTGATGGCTTAACGGTTCCATGATATTGATATACCATTAATTCATTCAGTCTGTTTCTTGAAAGTTGATGAAATTTAGGGTTTTTTCAATATAAAAAAATTATTGTAATAAATTAAACTGTATTTATAGAACTCTGAGCATCAGTTGAGATTCTCAGAAAATGGAATTAGTTACCCAAGTTGAATTATAATAAAAAGTGATATATTAATAAATAATAATAGCAGTTAACATTTCTATTGTACTTACCATGTACCAGATTCTAAATATTTTACATATACTAAGTAATCTTGCAGTCCTTCTAGTTCTTTTTTTTTTTTTTTGAGTTGGAGTCTCACTCTGTCACCCGCACTGGAGTGTAGTGGCATACTCCTGGCCACCACAGCCTCGACCTACTGGGCTCCGGCGATCCTTCCGCCTCAGCCTTTCAAGTAGCTGGAACTATAGGCGGATGCTACCATGTCCAGCTAATTTTTTATTTATTGTAGAGACAAGGTCTCCCCAAGTTGCCTGGGCTGGTCTTGAACCCACAGGCTCAGGCATTTCACTCACCTCAGGCTCCCAAAGTGCTGGGATTATAGGCTGAGCCACCGAGCCCAACTAGTCCTTCTAATTCTAATCTAATTCTTACAACAACTTCATTAGGTAGGTACTATTCTCATTTTACAGATGAGGACAGTGTTTTGTTTTGTTGTAGAGAATTACCTTAGACTGGGTGATTTATAAAGAGAAGAGGTTTGTTTTGGCTCACAGTTCTACAGACTATACAAGAAGCATAGTGCTGGCATCTCTTTCTGGTGAGGGCCTCAGGAAGCTCACAATCATGGCAGAAAACGAAGAAGGAACAGGCATTTCACATGGTGAGACAGAGAGAAAGAAAGAGAGGAGAAGTTGCCAGCCTCTTTTTAATAATCAGGTTTTATGTGAACTAACAGAGTAAGAGCTCACTCATTACTGTGGGAAGTGCACCAAACCATTCATGAGAGGTCTGCTCCCATGACCCAAGAATCTAATAGGCCTCACCTATAACACTGAGGATCATATTTTGTTATTTGTTTTTGTTTGTGTTTTTTGAGTTGGCGTCTCCCTCTGTCACCCAGGCTGGAGTGTAGTGGCATGCTCATGGCCACGGCAGCGTTGACCTGCTGGGCTCAGGTGATACTTCTCCCTCAGCCTTCCAAGTAGCTAGAACTGCAGGCATGCACCACCATGTCCAGCTAATTTTTCTTTATTTATTGTAGAGACAAGGTCTTGCCAAGTTCCTCAGGCTGGTCTCGAAACTCTGGACTCAGGCAATCCTCTCACCTCCGCCTCCCAAGTACTGGGATTACAGGTGTGAGCCACTCTGCTCAGTTGAGGATCATATTTAAACATGAAATTTGGAGAGACCAAATATCCAGACTATATGAGACACTAAATAACAGAGCAGTCGTATTACTTGTCTGAGGTCAGCCAGCTAGTAAGTAGTAAAGCTGAGATTTGAACCTAACAGGTTTGACTCTAGACTTCATATTCTAAGCCACTGCACTAAACTACTTCTTTAGGTACCACTGTTGCAAATGAAGTGAGGAATTCTAAATAGTTATGTTTTCTGGAATTTTATTTTCATGTTTATTGTTTAAAATAAGTTTCTGGCCATGTGTGGTGGCTCATACCTATAATACCAGCAATTTGGGAGGCTGAGGCAAGAGGATTGTCTGAGCCCAAGAGTTCAAGACTAATCTGGACAATGTGACGATACCTCGTGTCTACAGTAAAATTAAAGAATTAGCCAGGCGTGGTGGCACATGCCTGTGGTCTCAGCTACTTGGAAGACTGAGGTAGAAGCCCAGCAGGTTGAGGCTACAGTATTCATAATTGTGCACTACACTCCAGCCTGGACAACAGAGTGAGTTCTTGACTCAAAAAAAAAGTTTCTTTATAAAGTTTCTTGTTCTATAGATATGTGTGTATGTGTGTGTGTATGTGTGTGTATGTGTGTGTGTGTGTGGTGTGTGTGTGTGTGTGTGTGTGTGTAAATTTATATATTTATATTTATATGACCTATAAGTCAGGTGAACAGAATAAATTATTGGGGAACTATGACCAGAAAGGGATTTACCTTGAAGGTAATAAACTTGAAGCTTCCCTTGCGTGAGCCCCTTGGAACTGTCCCTAAGCATAGCATAGTAAATGAAATTCAATTAGAGTTCAGTTGTTCACATTTACATTTATACATGTATTAGCTGCAAGAGTCTAGACCATATAGCCTAGGTGTGTGGTAAACTACACCATCTAGCTGTGTGTGTGTGTGTGTGTGTGTGTGTGTGTGTGTGTGTGTATGTGTATATTGCCAAAAATAGTGTATATGAATTTTAAGTATGACATTTGCTCAAAAGATGGTGTTAGTCAAATGAATGTTGGTATCATACGACAGGCAGGACAGTCAAAGAAAATGGTGGAAGTGCAGTTGAGCAAATGTAATATTGCACATTGCTACCATAATTCAATTCAACTCCTAAGAGTAATACATAGATAATATCTCTTAAAATGTGTATACATTTTTGGTACCCCTTTATTTATTTGTTTGTTTGTTTTCCTTTATATATTACCTGGCATACTACTTTCCTCATAGTAGGTAATCAGTACTATTTTTTAAAAAATATACAAGTAATATGAATGTATTACAAACTTTTAGAAAACACAGGAGATGGAAAACAAAATAACTCATATATTATTAACATTTCTACATACAGTCATGCATTGCTTAATGATAGAGATACGTTCTGAGAAATGCATTGTTAGGTGATTTAATCACTGTGGGAACATTGTAGAGTGTTTGCTCTTGCACAAACCTAGATGGTATAACTTACTACACCTAGGCGATATGGTATAGAGTATTGCTCCTAGGCTACAAACCTGTACAGCATGTTACCATACTGAATTCTGCAACACAATGTTGTAACACAATGGCAGGCACTTGTGTATCTAAATATATCCAAACATAGGAAAGGTAGTATGTTGCACTAGTGTCACTAGATGCTAGGAATTTTCAACTCTATCTTAATCCTATGAGATTACCATTTTGTATGCAGTCTGTTGTTGACTGAAATGCTATGTGGTGTGTGACTGTATTTCTATTTTGTGTTTTCTAGTAATATTTGAATATCATGATAATACTGTATGTACTTTATATCCTGCTAGATAATTACCTGTTGAACTAATGGAGTGCCAAAAGGTTGTCAGGGTAGTAAATATTAAGATGTTTTATAAATCCAGTCAGAACTATTAAGTGTGTCTGAAGGACTTGGATCGAAAACCATCTTTAAAAGGTATTATTTTAGAAGGAAAAAAAAAGAAGACAGATTCCTTCCTCAGTTCATATTCAACACATGTTCTAGATAGGTTGAAAACACAAGTAGGAAAATAAAAATTTTAGAACTCTTAGAAAATATCAAGATACTCTTGACAGAAACCAGCTGTATCTGGCTATCTATCTGTCCAGACTTACTGCTGAGTTGGAGCAGCTGGAATTTAATGTACCACTTGATTCTCAGACTGTTTTAGACACTGTGCTCCAGAAGCTCTAAGTTAGATAAAGCAGCACAGAAAAGGGTCAGAGAAGGAAAATAACAAGAGTGACTTAATGACTACAGAAGTCATAACAAAACACAGATTGTCATTGAGTTTTCCTTGTAAGCAGCAAAAGGAAGAGTTCTCAGAAGTTCAAACTAACTTGTGAGAACTCAGGAAAGAGCTGCTCTGTGCTCTTGATATGGCCCACATGTTCCCTTCATGACTGGAATCCCTGCTATCATGTTTCCTTCCCTGGGGCAGCCAAAAGTTGAGAGAGACCATGGAAGAGGTAGAACTTCACAGTTGGAACTGAAAAACAAACACTTCAGCTCCCATATGCGAAGAACTTGGAAGTCATCACTCATATCTAAAAAGCAAGAAGAAAGCTGAACAAAATGAAAGTAAGTGACTTCAGACCCATCAGAGAATTGAGGCGACAGGACAAACCACCACTCTGAAGTCTGGACATGCGTGTGAAGACAGCAAGTCACACCCTAGATCAGCTTACCTGGAGCAGGGGCTGCTAGAGCCATGACACTGAAATGGGAATTTTGACAAGTAGCTAAGTGTGGTCTTGATCGTGAGATACTTCTTGGAGCCCAACCTTGGAGGGACCTCTCACTTTCATAAGTTTTACCTCCAGGAATCTAACCAGATTCTCACAGTAAAAATCTGAGAAAAAAATCCTCCATGTTTTGGGGCAGTGGGAGGGGAAAAGGAACCATTTTGAAATAGATCCAAAGCATTCTATTCTCCCTAATGAAAGAAATTCTAACACCATGGGAAATGTTACTAGACCCTTTTCCTCCTGGGAGCAAGTCAGTCAGCCAACTCCAAAACCCTGTAGCCTTCCTGCTTCACCTAATGGAAGAAAAAGAACAAGACTAAGAAACACTTCTCAGAACAAATACAGGGCCATTAAAAGACTGAGATTTAATCATAAATTTATAGAATGCTTTCCCTTCCCCATATTTTACTACTATGTTGCCATGGTCTGAATGTTTTTGTCCATTTAAAGTTCATATATTGAAGCTTAATCCCCAAGTTAGTAAGAGGTAGGGCCTCTGGCAGGTGATTAGGGCATGAGGGCTCTGCCCTCATGAATGGGATTAGTGTCCCCAGTAAAAGGGCTTGCGGGTGCCTATTTGCCACTTCCCTATTTCACCATGTGAGGACACAGCAACAAGGTGCCATCTATGGGGAACAGTCCCTCGCCAGACACTGAATCTGCCAATGCCTTGATCTTGCACTTCTCAGCCTGTAGAACTATAGGAAATACATTTTTGTTGTTTATAAATTACCTAATCTAAGATATTTTGTTATAGCAGCCAAAAAAGACTGAGACACATGTTACCAGGTCTCTGGGATATTAACAATGGATTACAACTAGAGGAGCTGTAAAATACAGACTCTAATTAAGAAGGAGTTTTTAGGGAAACCAAAGACACTCAGATTAAAGATAAAACCTCTGGCACCCATAGCTACTGCAGACATTAAACACAGCCTGTGTCCTAGCCAGGTTAACATAAGACCTCACTTTAAAGATCTGTTTACCTCATATTCTATTACCTGATACATTATGTTCTACTTTTAACAAAAAAATTACAAGGCATGCTGAAGGACAAGAAGAAGTACAGTCTGAAGAGGCAAAGTAAGCATCAGAACCAGACTAAGATATTACACAAGCCTAGGAGTTATCAAATAGGGAATTTAAACTGATTAATATGTTGAAAACTCTAAGGGAGTAAGTTGAGAATGTGCAAGAACAGGTGGGTAATGTAAACAGAGAGATGGTAACACTAAAAGAGAACTGGAAGAAAATGCCAGAAATGAGAAACATTAACAGAAATGAAGAATGCATTTGATGGACTCATCAGTAGGTTAGACACAGCCAAGGAACGAGTCAGTGATCTTGAACATACGTTAATAGAAGGTTCCCAAACTGAAATGCAGAAAGAAAAATAAAAAACAAAGCAAACAAACAAAAACAGAATATCCAAGAACTGTGGGACAAATTGAAAAGGTGTCTGTAACATGTTATTTGAATGCCATAAGGGGAGGGGAGAAAGCAGTAGGAGAAATGTTTGAAGTAGTAGTTACCAAGAATTTTCCAAAATTAATAACAGATACTCAACCATGGAATCAAGAAGTTCAGAGGACACTAAGTGGAATACCAAAATATCTACACCTGTGCACATCATATTCAAATGGCAGAAAAAGAAAGACAAATAGAAAATCTTTAAAGAAGCATAGGGTGGTGAGTGAGGGGAGAGTTTACTTATAAAGGAAGAAGGGTAAGAAATCCCTTCAGAAACCAGACAAACAAGAAGAAAGTAGAGTGAAACAGCATGTAAAGTGTTGAGGAAAAAAACCACCAACCTAGATAGCTATGTCCAGTGAAATTATCTTTCAAATGTCAAGAAGAAATACTTTATCAGACAAACAGAAATTGAGCAAATTCATCACCAGTAGACCTGCCTTGTAAGAAATAGTAACAGAAATGCTTCAGAGAAAAGGAAAATGATGTAGATAAGAAATGTGAATCTAAAGAGAATTAGAGAAGGAATAGGTGAAGGTAAAATAAAATCTCTTATTTTTCTTTTTTCTAAATTGATTGAACAGAGAGCAGTTTGTTCAAAATAATGGTAATGATGTATTTGACAATTATAGCTTAGGATAAATAAAAAGAGGAAAAGTCAACAAGACCAAAAAAAAAAAAAAAAAAAAAAAACAGAAAAGAAGGAATCAGCTCCTAAGTATTTTATTAAGAGAATGTATTGGACAGGTTGGAAAATTAAAAAATGGAACATTTAGGAAAGAAGATATATCAAGAAGATATATCAAGTGGTTAAATGTAGTATGTCATAAGGTAAACAAAAAGAATAGAAATACCCCATTGTGCTGACACAGTACATTTACAAGACTTCCTGGCTTTTAAATTTCCTCTATGTTGACAGTTTTTCTTTTTAAAAATCAGCCAAAAAAAATTTTGCTGATCGTTTATTTCTGTATTATGGTAGTGAACATGTGAGGTGAACTACAGTGTGAACATATACTTTCATGTTCACCAAATGGTCTATATTAGCCTTATTTTCACAAGTGTTATGTGTATTCATTCATAATATTTATCATACTTTTACAATTTTATACTTAACGTTAAAGTTCCTTTTTTGAGTTTTATTATGATTTAATGTTAGTATATTCTTAAAATATGAATGATCCATATTAATTTAATTTATTTGAATTTCCTGGATGAGCCATTTTAATTTCAGTCTTTCATAGTTTATAAAATCTGACTTGAAAGGGTTGTTTTAAAAAGACAGGTCATAAAAACATTCTGTTTGACAATCTATGAATTGTGAGTATAGTTTATAATTTTGATGAAGTCAAATTTGTCAGTATTCTCCTTGACAATTAGTACTTTTTGTTACTAATCCCTACTTTAAGTCTCTGTATTCTGCTTTTTAAAAGATGTATTTTTTTATTAGAGTGGAGGAATATGCTTTTCTTATTGGCTATTCATTTTTTTTTCTCTTAAATGCTCATTCTACAAATGGAAACTTTTTCACTGAGTTTTTACAGGATTATAGTTTTGCTTCTAAATATATAATCTATTTTGAGGTCAAAATATATCTTGACCATTGCTTTGTTAAACCCTTTCTCCATGTGGCTTTTTGAGCTGTGGCCATCATGTTTCCTTAATACCCCTCCACTCCCCGCTTCACTTTCTAAATAGAAATGATGGAATCCTGTTCATTGTGGCTAACAGTTTAGTTTAATAAATGTGTTATTTATCACTGTTAACAAAGTATATAACCATGTGTGTTGCTTTTAAATAGGCATGTGGAAGTCCAGGTGTTTGGTGATCACCATGGCAATGCTGTGTACCTGTTTGAAAGAGATTGTAGTGTGCAGAGGCGACATCAGAAGATCATTGAGGAGGCCCCAGCGGTAAGGACTTTGTAAAAGAAATTTGTAAACTTTTCTCTCTAATGTGAACTTTATTACTCTGATTTTCACATCTGAAATCTGTGAAGCTACTGTCTCCCACCTCCCAAACTCCTGGTGGCCACTTCCCAATAGTAGTGGAATGAAAAGATCTCCTGTAGTGTTGGGGGTGAAGAGGTTTTGATGTTCTGGGGGTCCCAAAACAAGACTGTCTTCTTCCTGGGTGAAATCTGGGAAAATCTGTTCTGATCCCAAGCCTGACTTAGAGTGGCTGTCTAGTGAGGTTTCAATGCACATTTTATTTTTATTTTATTTATTTTTTTGAGTCAGAGTCTCAAAAAACTGCACAATCACAGTTCACCGCAGCCTCCAACTTTTGGGCTCAGGCGATCCTTCAACCCCTCAAGTAGCTGGGACTACAGCGCACCACCGTGCCTGACTAATATTTGTATTTTTTTGTAGAGACAAGTTCTCATTTTGTTGTCCAGGCTGATCTTCCTGGGCTGTCAGGAAGAAGTAGCAGTCCTCCTACTTCTTCCTCCCAAAGTGCTGGGATTGCAGGCATTTTGAATTGTAATTAACTTAATTCTAGTGAATTAATTCATTACATTATAGGAACAGAATGAAATGGTCTGGTTAATTGAATGTATTTTTTAATGAAGACTCTTTTTTTTTTGATTGGAGTCTCACTCTGGTGCCCAGACTGGAGTGCAGTGGCCTCTCCCGGCCACTGCAGCCTCGACCTGCTGGGCTCCGGCGATCCTTCCGCCTCAACCTTCCCAGTAGCTGGAATTACAGGCATGCGCTACCACACCCGGCTGATTTTTTTTTTTTATTTATTGTAGAGATGAGGTCTCACTGCCCAGGAGGGTCTCGAACTCGCAGGCTCAGGCAATCCACTCACCTCAGCCTCCCAAAGGCACAGGATTACAGGCTGAGCCACCAAGCCCGGCTTAATGAAGACTTTTAACTATTTTATGTTCCTAAAATATACTAGTTGTTTTCCTGCGTTAATGGTTATATTGTAAAGAAAAGAGCATCACTCCTTTGGCAGCTTTTGTTCCCTTAACATGTTTGCATCTCTTTGAGCTTTCTGCTTGCTTTGTTTAGATTATTATCTGTGTCAAGACCTGTGACCAGAACTATGTATTTTTGGATTTACATTTCTTTGGAGCCTGCTACTGTCATAGGCTCTTGTTCAGGTTATATACATTTTTTTTTCAATAAGTATTTTCAAAAAGTCAGGGATCAGAGGTTTCTGGTTAATCGGTTAGTCTTATACTATATTTAAAATTCAGTTTCTATTTAGAGTATATTATACCATTTGAAGTAAATTGTCAATAATAACTCAGGCAGTGATTAATTAAATATATATTTGTAGAGCACTGTTTTAAAACATAAAAAGCTTTTCTTATTAATAGGCATTTCTTTTTTCTTTCTTTTTTTTTTTGAGTTGGGGTCTCACTCCATCGCCCAGGCTGGAGTGCAGTAGCATGCTTGTGGCCACCCCAGCATCAACCTACTGGGCACCAGTGATCCTTCTGCCTCAGCCTTCCAAGTAGCTGTAACTATAGGCGCATGCTACCATACCCGACTAATTTTTTTATTTATTGTAGAGACATGGTCTTGCCAAGTTGCCCAGGCTGGTCTTGAACCCATGGACTCAGGCAATCCACTCACCTTGGCCTCCCAAAGTGCTGGGATTACAGGCTGAGCCACTGAGCCCGACCTATATGCATTTCTTTTCATGGACCTTTCTTATTAACTTGAAATCTCAAAGTTTTCCATTATTTCAAAATAATCATTAGGCACATGGTGCAGATTACCCTGTCATCCTGAAACCAACTAAGGATTGTTGAAGGTTTTCATATTGATACATGTAATTTTAAGTGGATATTCAGTTATGAAAGTTGTCATATAGTTGACAAGGGACAAGATATGTAATTATGCTGAAATTCATAAAAATTAGCAGAATCACTAAACTTTGGTATATTGACAGTTAAACTGGTATAGGACAGTAGTTCTTGATGAAATGTATAACGTGCCTTTTTATTTTTAATGCAATATATGATACATAGAAGTATAATACAGTGATGTGTTGCTTAACAGGACTTTTAAGAAATGCGTCATCACGTTATTTTGTCATTGTCTGAATATCATGGAGTGTACTCACACAAACCTAAATGGTACAGCCCACTACACAAGTAGGCTATTGGTATATATAGTCTGTTGCTCCTAATCTATAAACTTGTATAGCATGTTACTGCACTGAATACTGGAGGCTGTTGTAACACACTGGTAAATATTTGAATGTCTAAACATACCTAAACATAGAAAAAGTACAGTAAAAATACAGTATTAAAGATAAACAGCGGGCCAGGCACAGTGGCTCATGCCTATAATCCCAGCACTTTAGTAGACCAAGGCAGTTCAAGACCAGTCTGGGCAACATAGCAAGACCTCTTCTCTACAAAATATCGAAAAATTACTCAGGAGGCTGACACAGGAGGATCTCTGGAGCCCAGGAGCTGGAGTCTCCTGAAGGACCTGCCCGAGGCTGTTTTACAGTAAACTTTTTTAAATGGAAGAAATACACTTTAAAGCAGGGATCCCCAACCCCTGGGCTGTGGACTGGTACCAGTCTGTGGCCTGTTAGGAACTGGGACCGCACTGCAGAAGGTGAATGGCAGGTGAACAGAGTTCCATCTTCTGTCAAATCAGTAGTGGCATTAGATTCTCACAGGAGCACAAAGCCTATTGTGAACTGTGCATGCGAGGTTCTTATTAGAATCTAATGCCTGATGATCCCCTCCTCCCCATCCATGGAAAAATTGTCTTCCACGAAACTGGTCCTTGATGCCAAAAAGGTTGGGGACTGCTGCTTTTAAAGTATGATAAAAAGTAGTATAGTAAATGTGAACCAGTAACATAGTCACTTGTTATCATTATCAAGTGTTGTGTACTGTACATGATTGCGCTATTATGCTTTTATACGACTAGCTATGCGGTAAGTGTGTTTACACTAGTAGCACCACAAACACATGAGTAATGCCTTGTGCTATGATGTTTTGATGGCTATGATGTCACTAGGGGATAGGAATATTTCAACTTCATTGTAATCTTATGGGACTATCGTCACATATGCGGTCTGTCATTGACGTTCGTTGACTGAAACACCATTATGTAGCATCTGACGATATTGGAATTTAATGGAAATTTTTAGTAAGATACACTACTAATGGAGATTTATTTTAAATATTTTTTTTCATAGCCTGGTATTACACCTGAAATAAGAAAAAAGCTTGGAGAAGCTGCAGTTAGAGCCGCTAAAGCTGTAAATTATGTTGGAGCAGGTATGTTAAGATTTGCTTCTAATAGAAGAGACGAAACATTTGTTTATGTTTTAGAAGGCAAGAGAAGCAGATAGCTTTTAAATTAATGACTTTTAGGTTTTTTAAAAGATATATTGAGGGCCTATATATGCATAAATATGTTTATGTACATATGTATTCAAAACAAACATTTCACTAAACAGTACTTACGTTAGTTATATATGATGAGGTTTGATATTTTCTATTCTATTTAAAATAAAATCACTAAATTGATTTTTTTGCTTTTTTTAATAATAAACTTTGTTTTTTAAAATAGTTTTCAGTTTACAGCATAATTGAGGGAAAAGTACAGAGTTCCCATGTATCTCCTATCCCTTCCCACATATTTGTTAAAATTAATGAACCTACATTGACACATTGTCATCACCCAAGTCCATAGTTTACATTAGGACTCATTCTTGGTGTGGTGTATGTTCTGTGAGTTTTGCCAAATGTATAATAATGATATGTATCTACCATTGTAGTACTGATATGTATCTACAGTTAGCTGCAAAACAGACTCAGGCAAGTCCTTCAGGAAGTATTACAGAGGAAGGCGTTGTCATCATAGGAAATGACAGCTCCATGCGTGTTATTACCCCTGAAGACCTTCTAGTCAGACAAGATGTGGAGGTAGAAGACTGTCATGTTGATGACCCATAGCTAATATGTGTGTTTGTGTCATTTCTTTTCTTTTTTTTTTTTTTGAGTTGGAGTCTCACTCTGTCGCCCAGATTGGAGTGC